GGATTATTGCCAGTTGAATAGGTCACTTGAGTAGCAAACGTGCCATTGCCATTGTTGAGGAGAACACCGACGTTGTTTGAACCCTCGTTTGCAACAATAATATCGACTTTGCTGTCTCCATTGACATCCGCTGCTGCCACAGAATACGGGTTATTGCCAGTTGAGTAAGTCACTTGAGAAGCAAACATGCCATTGCCATTGCTGAGGAGAACACCAACATTGTTTAAAGCCTCGTTTGCGACAATAATATCGACTTTGCTGTCTCCATTGACATCGGCTGCTGCCACAGAATAAGGGTTATTGTCAGGTGGGTAGTTCACTCGAGTAGCAAACACGCCACTGCCATTGTTGAGGAGAACACCAACATTGTTTGAACCGTAGTTTGCGACAATAATATCGAGTTTGCTGTCTCCATTGACATCAGCTGCTGTCACAGAATACGGGTAAACGCCAGTTGAATAGGTCACTTGAGTAGCAAACGTGTCATTGCCATTGTTGAGAAGAACACCGACGTTGTTTAAAGCCTTGTTTGCGACAATAATATCGACTTTGCTGTCTCCATTGACATCGGCTGCTGCCACAGAACTTGGATAAAAGCCAGCTGAATAGGTCACTTGAGCAGCAAACGTGCCATTGCCATTGTTGAGGAGAACACTGATGTTGTTTGAAACCTCGTTTGCAACAATAATATCGACTTTGCTGTCTCCATTGACATCGGCTGCTGCCACAGAATACGGGTAAAAGCCAGTTGAGTAAGTCACTTGAGTAGCAAACGTGCCATTGCCATTGTTGAGGAGAACACCAATGTTGTTTGAACCGTAGTTTGCGACAATAATATCGACTTTGCTGTCTCCATTGACATCCGCTGTTGCCACAGAACTTGGATAAAAGCCAGCTGAATAGGTCACTTGAGTAGCAAACGTGCCATTGCCATTGTTGAGGAGAACACCGACGTTGTTTGAACGGTAGTTTGCGACAATAATATCGAGTTTGCTGTCTCCATGGACATCGGCTGCTGCCACAGAATACGGGTTATTGCAAGTTGAGTAGGTCACTTGAGTAGCAAACGTGCCATTGCCATTGTTGAGGAGAACACTGACGTTGTTTGAAATCTCGTTTGCAACAATAATATCGACTTTGCTGTCTCCATTGACATCCGCTGCTGCCACAGAACTTGGATAAAAGCCAGCTGAGTAGGTCACTTGAGTAGCAAACGTGCCATTGCCGTTGTTGAGGAGAACACCGACGTTGTTTGAACCGGAGTTTGCGACAATAATATCGAGTTTACTGTCTCCATTGACATCGGCTGCTGCCACAGAATACGGGTTATTGGCAGGTGGGTAGGCCAGTTGTATCGGAAATCTATTGCATGAAGCTATTACAGAGCAAACATTGTTATTAGTACCAATATAATTATGGAAAACAATTGCCTTATCTGCCGTG